AAAATTTAGTTTTTTTTTTGTTCATTATAAAATGTTTGTTAAATTGTCTTTAATGAATATTGACTTTATTGGTACCACTGGAAAGCATTTTTCAGTAGCTTTCCAACGATGTGTCACAATATGGGGTTGCCATTTAGGATTTTTGAAGAGGGGGGCTAGGGCTTAAGGGGGGTAGGGGGTTGTCACTCATAACGCCATTCTGGTTCCCCCTCGATATCCCCGAAACGGTTATCCGCGATTTTCAATATCTGCTTTAGTTTGGAAAATATAGCCGACTGCAATTTTTAAAATTGACACCTCGTATATGTATTACGTATTGGTATTTATTTATTTACTTGTTAGGGGAACTTAAGGGAAAGCTTACACGGAAAAGTAAGGAAAGGATGCACTGTGCAATTTAGAAGGTAATTTTTACACTTTAGGGTTAGCATTTGATTGATGAAGTATCTATAGCAAATGTTTAATATTATATTAAAAGTTTTCTTGCCACTAATGCCGGCATTAAACTGATACTTTGCTATAAAACAACAGATGTGACATATCTCATAAGCGGTATTTTAAGGGATCAAAGACATTTACACCCAATGGTTAATTACAGGAAAAGGAATGTTTTTATCACTTACGGACATTAATAAAATTAGTTGTAGTTAATTTAAGCACTTTGCTAGGCATTTTTCACGCAATAAGGATTTAATTTGGAATTAATTACCTTTGCTATTGTAAATTCAATCCAAGCAGATTAGTATACACATTGTTTAGGCACATACATAAGTTTGATTGTGTTTTACGCTTGGGAAAGGATTAATTTGTAGGAAAATAGGACTTGTACGTTTTCAAAAGGTAACTTTAAATGGAGAGAGTTCCACTTCCTTGTCTATTATAGCTGGGGTGCCCCAAGAATCTAATATAGGCCCTTTACTATATTCGCTGTACACGTGCAACTTCAGAAGTTATGTTATGCATTGCAGGTATCACTTGTATGCTTCAAATAGATTTTCAACCGGATAATGTGGCTTTAGCTAATACTTCTGAAGTGGATACTCTTGTAAATGTTTCTGAAAAGCGCTATTTAAAAATTAATGCAGAGAAATCCGTAGTCATGGTATTTGGTCGACGTAAAGCCAGAAACTGAATTAAACAGAACGTGGATGTTAAGGTGGCAGACTCGGCTCTGCTTGTAAAAGAAACAGCTAAAAATCTGGGCCCGATTTTAGATGAAGGTTTGAAATTTTCCCAACATATTACTTCTTTATTACGGAAGACGTACATAAATTTGAAGCATATTCTTAACCAAAGATATTGCCAAAGTAGGAAAATTGAGTCTCTTGTATTGTCGCACTTTAATCATTGCGATACTGTGTATGGACCGTGTCTTGGTAGCTTTGATGTGAAAATAACTCACTGCCTGAATGTGTAAAAACACTTAAAACTGCCACTTTCATACATCGCCTTACTAAAATTATTTATGAAAATCAAAAGAAACAATAAAATTGTTTTCTTTTATTTTTTTGTCTTTTGTTTTTATTTATCTTTATTTTTTTTATTTTTTTATTAATTAACTTCCTCTCTTCTTGATCTATAAATTATTATTGTCATTTATTGCAAATGGCACACCACTAACACCGGTCTACAGCATTTTTGCGCATGGGACATATATACCTTATTTGTATTGCTTGTATAGCCACAAATAAGAATTAGAACAAAAAAAGGTTATGTATTTGTTTTTGTGCGAAAAAAATGCAAAAAACCAAAAAATAAAAATACCTATAAAATCTTACTTACATAGGCATGATTTATTATAAGGTAACGTTCCTACATTTATAATTTGTTTGTCTTAGAGTCTAAATGTTTAAAAATGGAACAGTTTTGCTGTTTTTGTCATGTTCAACTGAAGTTTTTCTCATTAACCCCCCAAACATGATCTTACATCATGCTTCCAGGTTACTGGCCTTGGTAACGTGCCTAAATTCCATTATGTCTTGATGAAAGGGTTGTCCTTGTTATTCCGAATAAGCTCCCATATTATCCTTAAGTTAATCTAAATGAGAATGTAACCTGTGCATCTTTAGAGACATTCTATACCTGATGATGCAAAAACAAAACCTGTCAGCTCGTCATAATTTTCAGTTCTATAATGGTTTCCCAGTAAACCCTGAACGGGAAACCATGGACTATTGCCTTAAAACTGTTCCAGGATTTTTTTCTCTCTTTGCTAAGTAACCGCGGGAAAATATCACCCTCCATCTTTCTTTTTATTTGAAGGAAAACAAAGATTCCAGCATTAATTTTCGCCCCTGAAAGCTTTCAATCAAATCGCTATAACTTTTGCAAAAGCAAATATTTTCGATGTCTAATTGCACTTTTTATTTATTTTTGATTATTATAGTCAGAATATATTATGTAAATCCCATGCGCAAAAAAAAATTATTTTTTTGTTGACCGGTGTAATCAATTAAATAATCAGTTAATTAATATAAATTAACTAATATAAATTAAGTTTTGTACTCAGGAAGTATTCTTTCTTCAACTAAAAAGTTAAAAAGTATTAGAGTTAAGTGGAAGAGCAGATTATGAAACTTCCTTTTCATAAATCTGAACTTCGCCCTATTAAAGGTGACTCTGACGTTAGTTTTTATTTTATATTTAATAGTAATGAATTATGTTTATTAGTATGTACAGGGTGCAAATCTAAAAGTGGAACATAGGCGTTTAACATGGGAAATTACTTTTTCTTTGCGTAAACGTTTCCTAATTATTTTACTCAAAAATACTTCAAATAAAAGTTATAGAGATATAAATTCTGCATCTAAATCATGTGAAACGATTCTCTACCTCTTCTTGTACGCGAAAGTAGTACCTACATTATATATCAAGGTAGAGAAGTACAGTATTATTGCCTGAGCACCAAGATTACATCTCGAGACGCTTGCGCCGAGGGGGGTAAGGTGCGAAGGCAATAATAGACTTCTCTACCGTGGTATATATACTATTTTCTTCACTACTAGCACTTGAAGTCCTCTCAATTAACATATTATATTGATAGGAAAATGAACGGTTGGACACAATTTTTTGTTTATTAATTTAACATGTCAATCAAGTGTGTAGAAGTACAAATCAAACAGGCCGTATTTTGTTCTGTCATTGAGATATTTTCAAACAGTAATTTCGTTAGAATTTTTTCAAAATGTGATAATTTTAGGTAAGTATGTAATTTCTCTGGAAATGGCGGATGGTAGGAAATTATTCATTTTAGAGAACTTGTCTAAACGTTCATTGAGCGAAATTTCGGGTTGTGTTTTCTAAAAGTAACAGCGTGACAGTTCTCATTATTGACTACTAGTTAATAATGTCCACATTACCTATTAACCACTTTGAACAAATGCCGAGAGCGAGAACGCCTACTTTACAAGTGGAAAAAAGGTTAATAATCATGTCATCAGACGCTAGTAGAGAAAAAAATTAACTATAAAGATTCTGTTTTCACGAGTTTTTAGTCTAGGTAGCCATGGACTATGTTTTTCTTTTATCATAGTCCATGGCTACTTAGACTAAAAACTCGTGAAAACAGAATCTTTATAATTAATTATAAGAAAAAGTAATTTCCCATGTTAAACGCCTATGTTCCACTTTTCGATTTAGACCCTGTACAGTGTTATCCTTCAATAAATGGCCATTATTATTATTAAATATTTACATTTTATACGCTTTGTTTATTAACAAAATGGCAGATCGGGATTCTATGGTACGCAAGCGAGGTAGAATTAAGAGGAAAATTACTAGAATTGAACATTTTGTAACGGCAAATGATGACAATTTATTGATTGATAGTAACGAATTTGTAATTAGGGAAATTATGTTAGAATATGAGAACATTCAGGATCAATTGGAGGAAATGGATGTCACCCAGGAGAGTGATAGGGTAGAAGTAGAAATGCAATATACATATTTATATAGCAAACTTAAAACTAAAATTTCTAAACAACTAAATTCAGAACATCAAGGTGGTGGGGAATCAAGTAATTTCGCCTTCAGCAGGTTCCTCTTCTAATGTCAAACTTCCGAGTATCAATATACCAACTTTTTCGAGTAGATACGAAGAATATAACTCCTTTACCTATAGAGTTATCTGACTCTCATTAATTGTGATAAGCACTTAAATAAAATTCAAAGGATCATATGTCTTAAGTCAGGTTTAAAGGATGAACCACTAGTAGTGAGCAAGGCCCTGCAAACTACCGAGTCACATTATGACGTTGCGCTAGAGATTTTAATTAGTTACAATAAACCGCCACATTCGCACATTCGAAATTTACTAGAAGCACAATTTTTAAAGGGTGCTTCACCATCCTTGTAATTCTAGGGTGTTGCCAACTTTCTTAACTTTTATGGAAATAGAGTTACCTACTGTTGGGAGCGGAAATTTACTTCAATATACCTAGTGGGGGGATTCTCAGATTAGGTGACGGGTTTCCGATTCTCCAAAATACCTTGTTTGGTTGGGTTACAGGGGGGAGTGGTCCCAGTAGAACCAGCATATGTTCAACCGTGAGGGTCTCTTATTTTCGCAAGGTCCGAACTTTATTCCGATCTTAATTCGACACGGTAGAATTAGAAGAGAGTGTCAAGATCAACGAGGGGCAATTTCCGCCCTTTTAAGTAAAACACTCCCTAACTATCACAGATGTTCACAATGATTCCTCAATATTAATGCCAAATGCATCCACACTAACATATCCACTCAGGAAAGCAAAGGAGCACTAAAACGTAGATTTCTTGTAAAGATCAACACATCCAAAAGTTCCAGGTATTGAAACACTGCTAGATAAAGAACTACAAGTTTTATGCGCTCAAACTATAAATCCAATATCCACCCATTCAATCACACATACGTCAATAGCAGCAGGAACCGAACAAGATAAAGAACTTTCCACTGGTTCAAGAAATAGATAATTAGAATTTTAAATTGGATCATCGGAACACTCAAACTGGATCAGCTACTATACAGTGGACAACGTCCAAGTCCGACGTTTATTTATTAAAATCGTATAAAGCAATATTCAACTGATGTAAATTCATAGTAATCTGAGTGTTAAAGCGTTCGCGTTTTTAATTGAATAGGTAAACCATTATACGACTTCAAAATAGCCTCAACCGATAATTCTGGCTCGTGGCCGACGACGGGAAGAATTTCGAAGTTTCTTAAGACCTTCGATATTGTGAATTTTAGTTCTACCATTGCAAAACGCTGACCTGTAATTTCAAAATCAGTGTAATAAAAATATCGAAGATGCTTACCAATGCAATTTCTGGGACCTGCGCTGAAAGGAACGTAAGCGTAAGGCGACCTAGTTGCCGAATTTTCGAGTAAGAAGCGATCCGGGTCAAATTTTTCAGAATCAGGGAAAGATGTAGGATCTCTATGCAGAAGCAATGGGTATAATGTCAAAACGAGTCCTTTTGGCAATAGTGACCCATCTGAAAGAAACATTCACATATTGATCTTCATACTTGGTACTCAACCAAACGGCACGTCTTGCGTTAAAACTCTTGAAAATGAGGGAACAGGAGGATACAATCTTAAAGATTCTTTAATAACCATTTCTAGGTACTTCATTTCTTGCACGTCTTGGTACGTAGGTGCTCTATTATTGTCGCCATAAAAAATTCGTCTCAATTCCTCGACCACTTTCCCCTATTTAACACAACTTAAATGGTACGATCGTGCATGGCTTACACTTACTTGTACGTCCGGATGCTTGGAAAGGCAATACAAGGTGAAACTGATGCCAGCGGCCGTTGTATCATGGCCCTGAAACCATTGTATCTACAACCCTGGCATGGACTTAGGTAATGCGTACCTCAAACATAAATGTGTCCACTTCTTCTCTGATTGTTTCATCGCTTAAATCATACTCCAAAAGAAGGTCCAAAAATGCAACACGTTTCGCAAGTCCCTCATCATTTCGCTCATTCGACCTGCGTCCTGTAAACGTTGATTTCCTACTTCGAATGACGGAATTTGTGAATCCGTGCAGAATTGAAAGGACTTTGCGTTGTTGTTGATACGTCCAGGTAAATTTATACATAAAATTTATCATTTTAGTCGGTGAAAATGCTCGTTCGGTAATAATACGGCACATTTCCTTGACGCTCAATACGTACGAGGATGTCGAGTTCTTTTGGGCATCTATTTGCACTCCCATTGCGGCCTCTGGTCAAAAAAACGTAAGGTGAAATACTTGATTAACAACTTACCACAAATGATATCGAGCGTGCAAAGTGCAACGCATGGAAATACGTCAAACGGGCCGTTGCTCATCTTCAATTTGAGAATATCTATGAAGGTATTACTTTGACGATTGAATATTTTCATGTATTTTTCCAAAATTTGAAAGTGAAACGTTGGTGTTAGTAATTTCCTTTGCGATTTCCATTTTTGACCTAATACTTATAGGATGTTTAACGATACACTCCTCGTAGTATTATACCATACCGGTGCTAGTTAATAATCCTGTACCAAGCCAATCGTGGAAAAAATTGTACTCGTACGATTTGTCAATAATTGTCGTTGAGCTAAGTACAAACTCTGCCGTTTTTGGGTCACAAACTACGAGCCGTGGTTGAGGACCTAAATATATTATAAATGATTGCTGGATCCCTTTCCACACACGTATCGACACCGGAACGATATCTATAAGAAGCACAGAACTGGTGAAAGAGCATTGCTTATATTAACTACCTGCAATCGATTTGAATAGCAACAAATTTCCTAGTAGGGGTAAAGGTTTAGGCCCCGGGAATTGCGCCAACTGCTTGCGATATTTCATTTGATTCATCCATAATAGAATTACGTACAGGCATAAGGTTACAATTGTAATTAACACAACCAACATTTCTTACAGTATTCTTAATTGGCACTGTTTCAACACGCACTGTTTATGATATATTAAACACTGATAAAAACTTCGAGCTTAAAGTTCAAAATAGGAATATCAAGCAAGCCCCCTCTCGTAATTATAGCTGCGTATATTGAATACCATCACCATTGAATTTATAACTAAATTCAATGCCATCACCATGCATCAACGTTTCTAGATCGCGGCCATGGGCGAAATACCCATATGCTAAATAGCGCTCACTCCTTAGGGAGACTATTATATTATTGCGTAGGTAGTCCGCAAACATTTTAAAAATAAGGTTGTTCGCATTTATTCTGGATACATTTACTTATATGAACTATAAAAAAAAGTACTGTATTTATCACATAGTCTTCACTTTTACCACTACAATGAATCTTGACATTGACACAAAAATTTAAATAATAGTAATAATAATAAACGCATATTTGTTTTAAGGCAACAAAGAAATAGAGAGGGAATATTTGAGCTTGAACATACTGAAAGATACATATGATAGATAACTTAAATAAATTATAAATTACTAAATAAGTATGACAAAAAGAAACCATTTTCCTATAAATGAGTAAATAAACTAATATCATTCATTTAAACAAAATGACCTTACTCTTACTGCATTAAGAATATAATTACAAACACAGTTTAGTTGAGCTGCGTTCTTTACGTGTAGTACGTGACAGATGTTCAATTCGTCGTCTTCATCGATTTTTTAAATACACGTCTCTTGTCAGTTGATAAATTGGGCATTTAAAAAAGAAGTGTATAAGATTTTCTGATTACATAGCTGGCATTTGTTTATGTTATTTAATTGGTAAAGCATATTTTTTATGAGAATGCGCGTTCCATTTTTGTAAGCCCGTCTGAGTTGTGCTACTGTTCTGATCAGGTCCGTTAAATTAGCCCCCGAAATATCAGAACTATTGCGCCAGATATAAATTACCTAGCGCCACAGTGCGCCACTAACCAAAAAGCTAGCACCTTTTTGGTTGAAAAGATATTAATTGTCAAAGTTTTAGGGGGCTAACTTAACGCTAGCCCCCTAAGTGTGAAATTTCACTGATCCTTCAATTGCGCCTGGTTGTAAAAAGGTTGCACCACAACGCGCCACTATTAGTAAAGCTAGCGCCCTTTTGGTTCAAAAGTTATTAACTCTCAAAGTCATAGGGGGCTAACTTAATGCTAGCCCCCGAAGTGTCGAATTTCACTGAAATTGCGCCTGGTTGCAAAAAGGTCGCGCCACTAGTAGTAAACTTGGCACCTTTTTGGTTTAAAAGTTATTAAGTTCACCGCTTTAGTGTTTTTTAGTGTATTTTAATTTATTTGTAAATGGTAGCTTTTAATCTCACTTTGGCTCGCTGGGTGGCTGGCTGGCTGGCTGGCCGTAAATGCGGGCCCGTCGAAGAACGCTTGTAGAAAGACGAAGAGTGTACATGTACCTACCGTGGCCGTGTAATTAACAACTTTAGCGACGGGGTTACATATGATGAGGGATCGGCGACACATGGGCGCCATCCCCGAGCGTGTTATACTAACCTGGAGATTTTTCAGTTTGTTTCAGATTGTTTTCAAATTTGTGTTGTTGTTTTTTGTCCTATGGATGAAATTAACCAAGTTGCAAGGAGCGCGTCTTTAAGGGATAGCCGACATGGACGTCCAAAATTTTCTTCGAGTTCTAATAGCTGTCTCTCTGTCTCGTGTCGCATATAGAAGCTCGAGCTATGAGAAGTACCAAAAAATGAAATGAACGCACTGCGGCGCTAGGTAATTCATATCTGGCGCAATAGTTCCTGATATAAATTGTGATATTTCGGGGGCTAACTTAACGGACCTGTTCTGTTCTTTATAATTAGAACTTTAAACGTTAAATATGCGGACATTTCATAATTATGCTTCACCGCCTGTAATTTGTTGTAGTGGTCGTTAAATTTTGTACACGTTTCAATATCTGTAAGTTTTAAAGTTGTCAATTATATTTTTGATAGAACTTTTAGTCAGATGCGATTGCTGTAGCCAGATGTTTCCATACCCCAGATTTTCCATAAAATGACGTATTTGTGATGCCCAGTTGTATTCAGCCCTATTCTGCTCCCAGGAGTCGAGGTGTTCCAACCTTATATTATAAAGCAATCTGTGATAAGACGTTGGTTTTTGTTTTAATACACTCATCCACCCCCATACAAAGATACTAACATGCCTCGCGCCGGTTTCAAGACGAAGCATATGATTAGGGGTAGTTTTCTGACATTGCACAACGTCCTTGAGATACTTGGTGAGTATTCCTTCAAGCCCTTCCGGTTTAAAAACGGCACATGTTTCAGCTCCGTGCAAAAATTTAAATAGTTCGGATTGGTTTAAAACCATGTACAATGTATGTAATTATATAGGTACCTATTATACAGGGTCCGGCAATGAAACGGGAAGATTTGGGGTGGGGCTTGCAGCGGGCGGTGAAGTGGTAGGGAGGACAGTCACAGACCTGTCGGGACCCGAGTGGCTTGCCATTTAGTCTACAATGGAGCGTTGGATGGGTGAGCATCGCGATTACGCAATTAAGGCTTATTACCAAAATGGCGAGAGTTTAGTGCAAACGCGTCGAGATTTTAGACGGCATTTTAACATACCGCGTAACCAACCGGTTCCGTCAGACCATGCGATTCGAATGTGGCTAAACAACCTCGAGCAAACTGGATCGACGTCTAGAGAAAGAGGTGGTAGTGCCAGAAGGATTCGAACCCCTGAAAATATTGAACGTGTTCGACAAGCCATTTTAAGAAGTCCACGTCGATCGGCCATCCGTCACGCCACACGCCTTCGATTAAATGACAGATCAGTGAGAAGGATTCTCCATCGAGATCTTCGATATCACCCGTATAAAATACAGGTTGTTCAATCTCTTCACCCGGATGATTATCAACAGCGTCTCAGATTTTGTGAGGTTATGCTTGCAAGGCTGGAAGAAATTGATGACCAGGTTAACAACTTGTGGATGAGCGATGAGGCACATTTTCACCTCACCGGTTTTGTTAACAGACAACATTTTAGATACTGGGCGGAGGCTAACCCTCGTATGCTTCATGAATCACCTCTTCATGCTCAGAAAGTGACAGTATGGTGTGCAATGTCTGCAAATGGAATCATCGGTCCGTATTTTTTTGAGGATGAGGCTGAACATGCCGTTACCGTTAATTCTGAGAGATACGTTTCAATGATTCGGAACTTCCTCACACCTGAACTCTACCGCTCTCCAGTTAATGAACACACACTTTTTCAACAAGACGGTGCAACAAGCCACACTGCAAGAATTTCGATGAATGCGGTGAATGCTTTGTTCCCAGGGCGTGTCGTTTCTCGAAACGGGGATATTGCTTGGCCCCCTCGGTCTCCCGACCTTACTGTCTGCGACTCCTTTTTATGGGGTTATCTGAAAATGAAAGTGTTTGAAACTGATCCACCCAGGACAATCCCAGCCCTCAAACAACGAATTCGTGACGAGATTGCAGCAATACCTGTTGATATGCTGCGAAGAGTTATGCAGAACTTCCAGGCTCGACTCCATGAATGCATACGTGTCAACGGAGGCCATTTGACAGATGTAATTTTCAAAAAATAATGTTTTTTAACATTGTATATCAAATGGCTACTCTTTTATTTCCCAGTATGGTATTACTAATTACAAAAAAAATATTTTTTCGATAATAAAATTATTTACGAAATCTTCCCGTTTCATTGCCGAACCCTGTATAATGTAGGTACAAGTTGCCTTAAATACAATAGTATAAACGTAATTGGCGAAAGTTTTCTACCGGGTGATTCAAAATGACTGCAGACAGTTTGAATTTGACGCTTAAAATTTTAGTGATTTTTTACTTAAGGCGTTGGCGGTCATGTTGTTCTCCAAATACACCAATCACTGCAACCACAATCCAGTGGCGTCGGTTTTTTTACGTGCGTTTTTATTTCCTTGTCTCTGTACCACGAACCTTGCATTTTAAAAGAAATAGTTATTTTCAAACCTTCTGCAAGGTGCGTAGTAAAAAAAAACACTTTATAAAGATTATTTGACCTCAGTTTTTAGTTCAAATTGAGAATGGCTTTTACCTCTGAACATGATGCCACGTTAATATTAATGACGCACTATCGTAGTGCAACACGTTTAGAAGATGGTACATGGCCATAATTCCACTAGGTCCTATTTTCAACAATTTAACGAAGAATATCCTGACCACCACATCAGTTATAAAACCTTCTTTGGTCATAAGCACCGAATTATCGAAAGTTTTGAGAATAAGAATAATAAGAATAAGGTGTCGTCCGTCAAGTCGAAGTGTGGAAGAAATCAGTTCGCGACGAATCAAGCTGGTAGAAACGATAACATCTTTATTTGTTACCATTACAGGCTTATCTTACGGTACGTGCCACAGAATTTTGCACAAAGATCTTAAAATCTTTCCCTATAAAGTGTCGATAGTCCAACAACTACATGCACGAGATTACGAAAGTAGGGGTTTAATAATCATTTAAACAACAACGAAGTTTTAAATCTAACTTTTATAAGAGGCGAAGCTTTGGTTCATTTATCAGGATATGTTAATAGTCAAAATTATCGGACGTTGGCAACCGAAAACCCCCATAATTTTGAAGAGACCAGCTTACATCCTTTGAAGATTGGTAATTGGGCTGGCATGTCTAGGGCCAACGATACCATTTCTGCAGAAAGGTACAGTACGTTCCTGAATCACTTCATGATGACGAACTAAGAGACAAGGATATTTCTAGCAAGATGGTGCAGCAGCCCATACAGCAAACGTCACCTTTCAGTACCTACAACAATTTTACGAACGATAATCGTTTAATCAGCAAATGTTTATGGTCTCCCCGTTCGCCAGATTTAACCCCATTAGATTTTTTTCTGTTTCCCACATTAAAGAATAACATTTTTTGAAATCGCTTGCACACTTGAAGAATTTCAAAATGCGATTGTAGAAGAGGTAATGAACATTACGCCGGCAATGTTAAAACTTGTATTTGAAAACATGACCCGTGGAGTGCAACTGTGTCTCGAACATTTTGAACAATCATTGTGATGACTTGCTTAATTGTACACTTGTGCTTGAAAACTTAATTTTCTTTAATTAATTAATTGTGATTGTTTTTGTTGCTCATTGATTTGCCACTCCCTTTAAA